ATCAATAATAAATAAAAAAAGTTAACAAACCACACTATAAATAGCCAAAAAACAGCATCTGGATCCACAATTATTTCCATTCAATAGCCTCTAGAATAATTATATCGTTATATATATATATTTAATATATACATATATTTAATATATATATACTTAATACAATTATATATATTTAATATATACATAATATAGTTATATATATTTTAATATAGTTATATTTTATATATATATACATTTAATATGTATATATATATATATATTTAATATTTTATGTAATATATACATATATTATTAATATATGTAATATACATATATGTAATATTTAATATATATATGTAATATTTAATATATATATAATATATTGAGAAAATAGTATGACAAATTGGAAAATGTTATATATATTTAATATATAGTTATATTTTTTCAATAGTGTTTTTTCATATATAAAATTGTATATCCTTAAATCAACACCACGAGAATGTGAATTTTATAATGAGTCAGTGAGTATTTTGCACCTGAAGATTGTGTGTTTGCATGAAACTCTGCATTGTGCTATCAACATGGGATATTATATATATTCACTATTATCTACTTAATATCTCTGTTGTATATCATTGAGCACTGTTTTTATAACACTTGAGAAAAAAATATATGTACTTGCAAGTATATGTGCGTATACGTATGTTGTTTATCATACTCATATCTATCTATCTCTCTCTCTCTCTATATATATATATATATTAGTTATATATAAGCAAATATATGGATATAGATCCGACAGTATGAAGAAAAATATGAAAAAAAACAAAAATCCTAATATGTGATTATAAAACAGCATAATCGCATATTAGGATTTTTTGTTTGTTTTTTCAGTATATTTTTCTTCATAGTTATATATATATATATATAGTTATATATTTAATATATATATGTTATATATTAGTGAATATACATGATGATCAATGTCAGTAGCACGTCTCGGAGTTTCATGAAACTCTGAGTCATGCTATCGATATTATGACTATTCACTAATATATACTTATAGCTCTTTTAAATCACATTGAACACTGTATTTATAGCACCCAAGAAAGAAATATATTTATAAATATGTGCATGTATATGTGCATATATTTTTTATCATACCCATACATATATCACCTGGTTCACAATCCTCCTCACTCTTTTGTACAGGTGTAGAGGTTTATCACTTGTTTCCTCTTTAGGATTGGGTTCCTGGTTTCTTCTCCTGAATTTTTCTCATTCTCTTTTGCTCCCAGTAACTCTTGCATTTTAGTGGCATTATTGCCTTGCTTGGGGTGAGTTGATTAAAAATATATATATCTTTCATGCATTATGTCTAAGTGTCATAATAAAACATGTGATTCATGGGATGATCCATATTAATGGAAATATTATTGGCAAAAATATATACTTAATTCCAATCCTATAAATAATCATCTAGAACTGTAGAATGTCTTTCACTATGCATTGGTCTGTGTTGTGCATGAGTGAATCATTTAAACCCTAAAAAATCAGATATTTATAAGACTATTGAACTTTCTGAAATTATTTGGTAATAGGTAGAATTGTTTATTTTAAAATTTTGTAGAAATATTTTTATGAGTGTCATTGAATTAAAATATAGAAGTGCATAGGCAAACATACATGTACACAAAATTTGAATGAAAATGAAATGGACATCTGTGTTGTAAGAATTAATTTTCTTTCCTGTCTGGCAACAATTCTTGGATAACAAGAGAGGAGTATAAACTGAAATGTCTGGCTGTTTGAAGTAATTTTTATGACTACATAAATATATTCAGTTTAAATACTTAAACTGAATATATTTTATAATAAATGTTGCATTTTAAATGGACAAACAATTTAGATTTTAAATTTGTACTGAGATAGTATGTGTAATAAAATATACATATGTTCAAATGTCTGTATGATGAACAATACCGAGGTGGTTATTATTTGTTCTTTAACCATGATTCAAATTCAAATCTATTAGTCAGCTTAAAAACTCCTTCACACCCCATTCTCATTATGGTCAGTCTTGTAAGCACTAAATACAAATATCAATTCATACTTAATGATCCCTCCATCTGCTATTTATGCTCTGTAGTTTTGACATGAAAGCTCTCTTTAGTCTTATTCACTCTTTTGTCCCTACTCTCTCAATAAGTTTTTTATTTCACTCTTCTTTCCCCTTTCAGTCACCTATGTTTTTATTTTCTTCATGAGTACTTACTACTTAAGTGTTCTTATCACATATTTCTTTCAAATTTTATTCCCTTCTTACAATTGATATCACTTCTCAACTTCCCCCCCCATCTCCTTACTTGAAGCGGAAATTAACCAAAGTTTAGATTCAGGGTGCCTCCCCGCCACCAGGCTGTACCTTATTGCAGTTCAAGGGAGGGGTTAGTCCCTAATGCTTAAGTCATTACCAAAAGGGAACTGGACAATTTCTGGCACCACCCGAATGCACACGTGCGGAGCTCCACGTCGATTATGACCTTGTGTCAAACTTACACTCGTGGAAGTAGTGAGGGTACAGCTTCTTACAAATGATATTGTCAAAACAAAACAAAACTTTATCTCTTCTTATCATTCTATTTTTTACTTTTTTTCCTGTTTGTACCAGTTAGTGTCTATCAGCTTGCCGAAGGAAACGATTTAGCTTAGGCTGGCACAAGGTCACATGTAGAAGAGCACCTAGTAAATATTCTGCGAGATTAATCAACCATTGCTTCCAACGGCAAAAGTCCGAATTTAGATGTTTGAAATACTGATGACTTCAAAGGCAGACACAAACTTTTGTTTGGCGTTAATCAATCTTCTTCCATCCTTCACATTTATTACAACATTGGTACCGTACCTGACCAATGACCCACCTCTCGCGCTAAAGTGGAAGTAAATATTTTTTTCAATTGATGTATGAAGTTTTAACTGATTCTATCTGCTTCTATTTATTTAGTCTTTTAGCCAGTATTAATCTACCTCCGATTTCGTTAATGATCAATCTTTTTATATTGATTGATCTGTCTTGTTCATTTCTCTCGCTCTCTGAATAATGCTTCTGCTCGCCAGCCAAGTCTACAGCTCCTCCAACCACGAGACAAGGAGCTTCCTTCTCCTCTTCCCACTTTCCATCATTTGCTGTTCCCGCAAGTGGCCGTCAGTCGGTTGTTACCAGGTTGAGCGTTAAAAAAAAAAAAATTAAAAAGAAAAGGAAAAAACAAAACAAAACGTTATATTTTGCCTTCGTGGGGTGGTAAATAAATATTATTACCAGACCAAGTATAAGAGAAAAAGAACCATGTTGTGTTTTTGTTTATATATAAGAAGAGAAGCTAAAGCACTATGTTCGAGGGACGTCATACAAGGATTTTTTTCATTTTTTATGCAACATGACATCTTTACATTACTACACATCAAAGTGGATACGAACAGTAAAAATCTTCTATGATACTTGATGGGACATGTACAGTTTTTTTAACATACACGCACACAAAATAATAAAATCTTTACTTTTATAAACTGCATCACAAAAAAGGGCGTTAACACAACTACTAGAACCGATTTACTGGTACTACTATACAATTTTAACCATTCAGCAACTTACCAACGTCTTCATTTTTACGACCACCGACCACCAATTACACAAACGGATCTGGTAGATATATAAAAGATGAACATACGGTTTTTATTATTGCTAGATCTGGCTTCAAGAAGACTAAATAGAATTGTTGGTGTTATATCTCGGTCAAAACAGGCCTTGAAAAAGCGATATTACATTTCTCATCATAGTATGGTTAGATGACAATATCAATATAATACACACACGCACATTGATTGTTTTTGTAAATTAGAATTGTATACTGATCCTTATTCTTTTAGTGTTTCTTGTTCAGATGAAGTTTTGTTTTCATAATTCTTTATTTAAAGAAAATAAACATTTTTTTCTTAAGAAAAACGCAGGCCTTTATATTTTTTTTTAATACGTACCTAAAAGAAAGTGTCATTTACAACAAACCTATAGGTACGAAAAATATAGTACTTGTCTTATTCGAAGTCATTAATGGACTGTTGTATTTATCATTACATAAAAAAACGTATTACTAAATATTCAAAATTCTATTTTTGGTAGATTTCCTAAATCCAGCAGTGTTCAGAAATATTAAAGTGTCACTTCTTCATATTTATTATTAAACTACAATTACAAAAACTGCTTAATTTTAATTTGCACATCAATGCATTATCGTACCTTGTGTATTTAGGGTTGGGAATTAAATACATCACAAAGCCAAATTAATGTCCCAACAATTCTTTTCTTTCAAATCTTTTTCTCGTTTAAAGCATGTCCCTTCAAAAACAAAAAGCCAGTTATTATGCGAAATTAACTAGTATATGGATTTCCTTCTAACTACAGTACACAAAGTTTAACACTTGTTATTGGTGTATGGTTTATTTTTGGTGTTTGTTAGAACTTAAGTTAGTGTCAACTGAATATAAGTTTATATCACTTAAAAATAGTCAACGTGAAAAAACTGAAGAAAAATAATTTATTTACTTGACAGTACAAATAAATGTATGCTTACTAAATAATTTTATTTTGAGAAAAAAACAAAAAAAAACACTTGTAACTTTTTTTTTTACAAAAACGTCAGCGTCAGCTTCTACTTCCTTGCCTAGCTGGTTGTTAAGCCATGTAACTGTCCATGAATCTTACCACCTGGACATTGTCATCCACCCTTCTTTCTCTCTAACTTTTACCTACCTGTTTCTATGTCCCAGAATAGTGTGTAATTACCAACAAGTCAGCAGAGAAAGTTTTAGGCCAGTAGCAGGTGTGATCATCAGACATTGCCTATCAATAGGTTGTTGAATCAAGGAGCCTGTGGTTGGAGTTCCTTATTTGCGCCCTAGCTTAAACTTTACTCAAAAGAATTTGTCCTTTTTTTTAAGGACCCAGAGCCCGATTTTTTTTTACTATGGGCCGGAAAAATCTATTAAATTGCATTCGATTCGATGAATGGGATCCTGAAAAGGTTGCCGCTTGGCTAAGAGGTGAGTATTTCTTTAAGTTTTATCACCCTCTCCTTTTATTTTGCATTTATTTTTAATTTTCATTCATAAACAAAATAAATGAACACTTTTAATATTCGATATATTATTGAAATAACTTTATTGGTGCTTGTTAACTTTAAGAAATAGGCATTTTAATTTAGAGATTAATTAACAAAAGTTAACAATTACAAAAACAAATGTAGGAGATTTTTTTTTAATAATCACTTATTGTAAAACAGTTTTTTTTAACAATTGTCTTTTTCACACATGTGAGATATGTAGTTTAAGTTAACTAAAGAAAGGAATTAGGAAATAAACACATTTCACTGCTGCTACGGATGATCAATAGAAATAAAAAAAAAATAATTCTTGAATTTTAAAGTTTTCCAATAATAAAAAAATTATTCTAAAACTTGGAGCAATATTTGTTATTTAAATTATATAAAATCCTGAGATGGAATTGATATTTACATAAATATGAAAAGACAAGATAAAATCAGGAGAAATATAGTCATTTTTTTTTAACATCTGACTTTTTGAAGATTTTCAATTTTCATTATTGGACACGTAAAAAAATAAATTATACTTTCTTTAAACATTTTTCACAAAGTAAACGACATAAAGTGTAAAATCTTGATTTGTATTATTTAAAAAAAATTGAGGTTCATATTTATTTATTTTTTTTTCCAAGTTTTCATTTTTACAAAGCCTCATCAAACACACTAAAGCATGTTTTGATTTTTCTCTGGGCCAAGATTTTTATTTTTATTAGAATTTGATTTGAATTTGTGTTAGTGTTACTTACTAGTTACTTTCTGACATCATGTGGGTTTTTTTCTTATTCATTCTTGATTCATCTGTCAAAAACCTTCTTCCTATTTTAATTCCCCTTTCACACTTGTTATACTGTAGAAATGTCAGTACAAAATGTAGTAGTGTTTGTTAACTAAAAACTACAAAAAAAGTCTAAGTTTATCCCCTGACAGGACGGATGCTTTTTTTTAGTTATTTATTGTGTAAGTTATTTCTAAACTCAGTCATAAGCTACTTTAATTTAAATACGTTATAATAATTATTATTATTACACAATAATACGTAAAGTAATTTAGTTTAACTTTTTTTAATCATTCTTTTCTCCTTGCCATCTAGATTTTTTTATGTTACTTAATAGTGATCCCGTGAGGGTAAAGTTCTTTTAAAAGAGGTTTGACAATGTTTTCTCATTGAGTCATGGTAAAAAAAAAAAAAAATGAAAGTAAAGGTAAAAAAAATCGACATTGTTTTTTAACAAGATCAATTTCTTTAAAGTTTCACCACTTCAAATGAATGAAGTTTTAAAAACTTTGACGGCATGCCATAGACCAATGTTTTTGTTTTATTAAAAATTAGTTATACACGCAAATTTTTCATGTGTGAAAAACTAGGACTTGGAGAAAAACGTTATTTTTATTTTTTTTAATAAAACCACTTAAAGATCTCTGACAACATCATTCGCCATCAATAGTTTAAGAAATGCCTAAAAAAAAAACAACTTTGAGGCAGATTTTTATGCTTTTATTTTAATTTAATTTACAATTTCTGTTTACACGAAAACCTTTTTAAAATGAGTCTGAAAAAAATCCAACATTTTCATTAAAACTTCGACTTTTCTGATTCAGAAGAATCAGAAAAGTCGAAGTTTTAGGTGAAGGTCGTTTTTTTATGTAGAAAGTTGTCACCAAGTTAACGAGATGAAACATTTAAAAACAATATTATTCAGCCACGTTATGTCTTCATTAAAGAAAGTCAATTATATATTTTAAAAAATGTATTATGAAAGGAAAGAAATTTTCCGTCTTTTCATTTTATTTTTCTATCTCTCGGGAATTCACTGACTGAAGGAAAATGCAAATCAGATCTTGCATTTTTGTGGCTGATGTTAAAGAAAAACCAAAACAAAAAACTACGAATGAATAGAATGTGCAATAGACTAAAATAAATAAAATAAGCTGATTTATGTGTGTAACTCTGTTCGTATTTAGACTTTGGTTCAGGTTTATTGAGTAGATAAGCAATACGGAAATGATAAAACATGATGTCATTGTATTGTCATTAGTTAGGTCAGCTGTAGAACATTACTGAACCATTCATTATTGTTTCTGCGGTACGATTTATTTTTACTACAAAATTTTCCATTTTTGGGTTTATTTTCAAATCCCAGAAAATTTTCATGTTAATTTAAAATTTTGATCAGCTGATATTTTGGTAATGCTGTCGGATGATTGTTAATTCCGAGATGTTAACATTCAATCACGTGTTTAATTTCATTATTTGATAACGAAAATATTTTAGGTGCGTCCACACACGTTTGTTGATGAAAAAACGTATGTGAAACAAGGCGACAAAGTAAATTTAAAAAAATAAAATAACCAAAAAGAAAAAAAGGAAGGAAATTTTTTAACATCGTAATCTTTATTGGAGATAATTTTTATAACCGGTATATTTTGGGTTTGAAAAGTTGTTTATGTTGTAAAAGTTAAAAACAGTGTGGTGTATTTTTTTTTTTGTGTGGTGTTTTTGGTGTTTTTACTAGGCGATAAATGCCTAAATTTAATAAAAATATAGTACCATTGACTAAAAAAAATCAGTTGATCATTTGATTTCAATTGTAAAATCTTCGATTATTTTATTCATGAAAAGCGTATTTTATAAGTCTTACTTAGAAGAATTTGATTTGATAACTTTGAACTTAAGTCTGATTGACTTTTTAAAAATGTATTTCCTCACATTTTTCCTGACACGCTTTACTTTATTCACCTTTTGTAAATTTTAAGATATTTTTAAATTATTGTAATTCATTTTTTTAAGCCATTGGCAGTACTTAGAAAACTATCTGGGTAGTGGAAAATGCGAAATGCTGAGAATGGGTTCAATTTGGGATGAAAGAAGTGGGTTACATGGCAACGATAGTCGAGAAAGAGTCTATAAACATACATTCATTCTATTACTCTCTCTCTCTCATTAAAATACAACGTTTTAGCATCAGGAGCTTTGAAATCAGATGCAATTAAGAGGGGGTGTATAAGGTGCAGATGTATTAGAAAGAAATTTTTTAAAGAAATATTTAAACATTAGGTTATGAACACACATTGATTTCTTTTCTAAATCCAACAGGTTTGAGGAGAAACACCTGGAAAATTGAACAGAAAGTGTTAGATAAAGAACTTGACAGCTGGAAAAACCTAGAATACTTACAAAATTGTGTAAGAATCATTGAAAGGGAGGTAATATCATCAAATGTGAGGGGAGGTACAAAGAATAATGTTTAAATAACAAAAACTATCAAACACGTTTTCCTGGTTAAATATTGAAATTAAACATTTGTTGGTGAATATTTTTAATTTTAACACCTTTCAGTACCCATATTTTGCTGTATTTTAACCCGACAAGATAGCTTACAGTAATTATTTACCCACTGTCCCACGCAGCAAGATGTGGCACAAGGCCGAGTTTTAAAGTGGGGTATCCGAGCCCGTAGGCTCAGACAAAAATTCCCTATAGACCACGTAAAAACGGAGTCAGTTTCTCGAGACGAGACTGCCCTTCGCATAGCCTCGTCTGGGGGATACCCTGACATGTGCCAAGTAACACTTGCTGCTGTTTTGAGGTTTTATTTTAATTTTTAAGAAGAATAATCGAGATTAATTTCTTTTTGTCTCTTATGCTAAAATACAAGGTGTTACCAAAATGTTCTGTGAATATATGGCGGTGGCTCAAAAAAAAATACCAAAGGCTCTTCCTTGGAGCATACTGACAACAGTCACAACACTAACAGTTGTACACCGACACGGCAATCTCACAAAAAAGGAAGATCATGTAAAAATTTAAGTCTGACAGTGTAAAATTCAATTTGCATGCACAAGAATTTTTTTTGAGTATGACAATTGATTATTGTGGTCACATCCACTCTAACTCTAGTAAGAAAAGTATTGACTGTTGATCATGTTATTATTGTTATTTTCCCGCCACTCAAAATTCATCTTCGTTGTTGAAGATTTCCAATGTAGCCTACTTAATTTGTTTTTAGGATTAAAGAGATTTCAAAATTTCTTTGTTATTTTTTAATTAAGTATGTAAATTTACACCTAAATATAACGATTCCAGAAAGTTTTATTAGATAATTAGCGCGGGGCTTAAAAAGCAAATTATACCCCAAAAAAGTTACGTAACGCAGTTTCACTCATGGATGTTTTTATTAATGCCAGCACAGTAGGTTGGTACGGATGGATACTTACTAACTAATCATTAGCTTAGTATGGCATAGCGCCGCAGGCCTAGATGCATCTTAGGATCGAACTCGTTGCACTAGCAAATTTAGTTTCGGAGAGAAGTTGTTTAAAAGAAAAGCAAAAATCTCAGGTGTTTTTGCTTTTGTTCTTATCAAATTCACAACGGCGTGTAACTTTGACAGATAATCAGTTATTATTAAGATTGCTTTATATACATATCCGAACATTCGGTTTTTTTTTGGTTTTTTTTTTAAACTATATTTTTCTTTGAATTCCCGAAATTTATAGTAACTGTAAAACCCAAACAAAATTATGAAAAGCAGAATTCGTATTTCGGCCAAGATGACACATTTTACTACCAAATGATTGGCTTTAAAAATAAAATCAGATAAAAAAGAACTCGGTGAGAGAAAAAAATCCTTGACTTATTGAAGAAGAGTAAGAGTTTGAAAAAAACATACCATTTGGTTTTTGGAGATGATTTTATTTATTTTTGTTTTTGTTTCGATTTTACTTATTTTATGTATCTTTGTTCAAACTGATTTGATTTACCATACCTTGTTTTTCTTGTTTTCTTTTTACATGTTCACATGTGTCCTATCGGATACATTGATCCTATTTTGAGTGTGTGTCTTATGACGATTGATCTAAAAATGCAATGAAATTTTGAAATTCTTGAGGAATTTTGTTGAATATTATGCCTTTGTAGGATGCTTAGTTTATAGTGAGTGT